GACAGCTATCCGCAACAGACGCTCATAGCCAGTGAGGATTCCTACACCCTACTCAAAACACTGGGCAGGAATCAGATGACTGCCATTTCAGCAGGCGAGGTAAGCACACGCCCCTACCCTCTATGCACTTTATGCTGAAGAAATTAGGGTTATAAGGAGGTCTGGGCGGATGTGGCTGACGTGGGAAACAAGTTTACTTGCAGTGATAATGGTGGTCCTGGCTGCGGTAAGCTCTGCGCTGCGCCAGCCTGAAGACAATATTCTATAAGATAGTTAATCAGGTCTGAACAGAAATGAAGTCCCTGAACCGGTTATCCTTCTAAAACACTGCAGGCACTACACTGGCCGATAGATTAGCGCCGTGAATCGCGAATAAGATGCAATTGCGGTTGATGCTGGAATGACAGACAAAACCGAAGCACTGACCCATTTCTTGATTTAGTATTTAGAAGTTTACCGACATTCCTTACCTTAAAAAAGAAATCCGTTCGGCTTTTCCGATATATTTAGCCTCAATTTAAAATATTCTTTTCATCGTGCTGTGAACTTGGTACCGGCGGAAACACAAACACATAATGTCCGTTTTTACCTATTCGAAGCTAATGTAATGAGGATATAAGGCATAATATTTTTCTTTGCAACCTAACGCAAAATAGTATGGATTTAAGTTTCACCGTTTCAAGATATTCTTTCCGAAAATGTCAGAGAATCCTCTCAAACACTGACTAATAGCTCCAACTACAGAAGGGACTATATAAGCTGGACCACAAAAGTAATAGAAAGGGAAGACAATTCAACACATTCACAAATAATTCATTCACAATCCAAAACTTTACATATAACAGCCTGTTGCCTTTTACTCGAGAAGCCTTCGTCATCTGCAAGCTGGAGAAAACTACTTAAATAGCACTTGTATTCCTCATTGCATTGAGTCAATCAGATGTTCTGGAATGCATACATAATACCCCTTCTTATTATTCTCCTTTGGTGGAAAGCTGGTAGTTGAACTAGGGAACTATTTATTCATTCAAAAGAATTGCATTTGTTCACCGGCTTGCATGAATCTACATGCAATCTAATATTCACAGGTTCACCTCTGTTCCTTACAAAGTATGGTGCGTGTCCCAGCCCCCAGCCATTGAGACTTACAGATACATGCGACACTGCTTTCAGAAAAAGTAGACATCATGAAAAGAAGTGGAAGGGCATGTTTTGTTTTAAGATTTGCGTGACTTTTGGCGTTTTTAAGGCCGAAATAGGCTTTGCATTCAACCCTGCTTAACTACACAATTTATTGTACTTGCTTGTATTAAAGGACTTTTGCGTGCAAATGCTTTTGGAAATATTTTGGGGTGTTAGTGGAATTAGGCAGGAGGCCTACGCGACACTTGCAATATTATCTATTTATTATGCAATATTTTATGAAAAGTAGAAGGCCACTTCGTAAAATAGTGTCACACTAGGCGAATTGACTCTGGAGAGGACAAATAATCTGGAATTTCTAAAATTATACTACAGCTAAGCACATAGAATCTATTTAAAAGTATCCGGCTATTTTTAAAAGTTTACAAACGCAAACCTCTTTATTAAAGTTCCAGGCATTTCAGATGCGTACTTTACCAGATAATGAGCATTAAAAGTAATTTTTGATTAATTTCTATGCGACATAACTAACCTTACGCAAACATCAAAAATCATGAGAAAAATAAGGCGCTGTAAAACTAGCAATCAGGGAAAATCCAGCTAACAGACAGAATTCTTAGTTTCTTCCAGACAACTATTTTTCCTTCCTCAAGTTTACCACACATAAAGAGGTTGAAACTAATGTCTTGAGATGATTCTCCTCATTAATCATGGTAATTGCTGAAAAAAGTGCGCATAAACGCAGAACTAATTTGCCAAACCATTGAACTTAGTTGAGAGATCGTAGTACGTCTTAATTCTTCTGAATTACCTTTCAGGAAAAAAAACGCGTTTTAAGCGTTCTAGGGCCTTGGCGTATATCTGCTCAAAACACCGGAACATCTAGTCTAAAGCCACCAAAGAACTGTCAAGTCGTGTGAAATTTTCAAGTGCTTCAATAATTTCTGGCAGTTCAAAAGAAATCCTTATTTAAAACACGCATATACGGCAGGATTTATTGGCGTCAATAAATTTAGTGACAGCTTTTCAGCTGCAACTTGTCGCTGCATGAGGATGATAACGAAAAGAACATGCAACCGTCTGAAATTTCACAGAATGGATGACAGAACAGAAAGGGTCATAGGTCGGTTTAAATAATGATCAGGTTAAGGTAAACCGAACTATGACCCTTGTTGTTATGTCATCCATTTTGCGAAATTTCAAACGGTTGCATGTTCTTTTCGTTATCATCCTCATGCAGCGACAAATTACAGCTGAGAAGCTGTCACGAAATTTATTTACGCCAATAAATCCTGCCGTATATGCGTGTTTAAAATTTATACCGGAGAACAAATGCTTCAAAAATCCTTATTATTTTTTAGGGATCGCGCTATTGCAAGGGCAGAAGCGATTGTCTTTGAGTAAATTATAAACTGCCTTATGTAAAATGGGAAATCGTAAATTTTCGAAAAATTGAGGTCAATTTTGCTTAAGTGACTCTGAGTAAGAGAGAATTTATTAGTCTCAATAGAAGTTCCTTCCGAAACTTGGTAACTGCAGAACTACCATCATAATGCAGAACTACTATCACAAGGCAATGTAAGCAAGCAGCCTCGCCAAGTTCTCCCCAGGTATAGATCTGGTGACTAATAAGTCAAAAATGGCCATTCCAGTCTCTCTTGTATTTCCCGGCAATACTATCTGCCTAAAATACCAGTTACTACGGCTGTCAGGGCATCCGGCGAGACCCAAGGCTGAGCGGGGTGGATGAGTCCCGTTAGCGGTTAGGTGAACGTTCATCAACGAGTATCAATAGCTCCTGACCTAAACCGGCTAGACAACGAACTCGTGGCTCAATGGTTAAGGCGTTTGACTCTGATCAA